GGGTGCTGGAGGGGGGCACACGCAGGTGAGAACAACTCAGTAGTGCAATACCAGGGACAACGCAGGGAGCTGGGGGGGGTGGGGGGGTCTCAGGACCAGTCCCTCCACCCTGTCAGGGCTGGGGGGAGCACAGGGAGGTGCTACTGGTCATACTGGGGAAGGACCAGTCCCCCTGATACCCCTGGGGTGGGTGTCACGGTTGAGGAGGGGACACGCAACGGGGGCTCTATCCCCTCCGTGCCGCTCCAACGCCAGCCCCAGCTACGTACCTAAGTGCCACCAAAGTGTGTGTGTGGGGGGTGCTGGGACCCCCCCACCCCACTGGGACCCCACCCCACATTTCACACGCTTCCTGGTGAGCCCACGGCAGCAGGACGCAGAACGGGGATGCTAAAACACCACGCTGGCATCAAACACCACCCCGGGGTGATGGGGGACACCCGGGGTGGGGGGTCCCAGGAGCTATTGACAGCCTGGGGGGGGGAGGTCAGCGAACCCCCCGGGGAGGGGGGTGGCCCTAGGGGACACGGTAAGTGGAGGTGTTCTTGGGCTCGGTGCTGGGGACACACCAGTCCCCTGCCTCCTGGCTGGCCTGGTAGTGCCGCCACGCCGACTTGTTGTAGACCGGCAACCGCTCCACCGAGTCCGTGGACAGGGCCTGTGGGAGACACAGGGGGGCTGGGGAGGGCCCTGCGACCCCCCCAGGAGGCTAGAGACCCCTCTCACCCGGTTCTGGAGAGGAAAGACCCACCTTTAGGTAGATGACAGCATCAGTGCCGAAGCCCTCCATAGAGAAGAGCTGCAGGTCCCCCTGGAAGTACTTGGCGTAGAGGCGGGAGATGGGCAATCCGTAGCCAAAGCCGGCCTGGGGGGGGGGCAGAACATACAATGGAGGGGTCCCCAGTCCGGGGGTTGGCACCCTCAGGGGACCCCAAGCCTCCCCAAGTACCGCCACGTGCACCCACAAGCATCCATGTGCCACCTCCAGTGGTCACCACACCACTCTCAAACCCCCCCAGGCACACCCAAACGTCCCCCACGGCATCCCAAAGTGTCCCCGTGTCACACCCAAGTGTCCCCATGCCACTTCCAAAGCACCCCCCAACACTCTGGCCACCCTGAAATGTCCCCTCACCAAGCCCAGGCATTCCCAGAATGTCTCCAAGCCACCTATGAATGTCCCCAAAAGTCCCCATGCCAAGCCCAAACCTTCCCATGCCACCCCAAGCGCCCCCAAACCTCCCCATGCTACCCCCAAAGCACCCCCATGCCACTCCAGCTGCCCTGAAATATCTCCACACCACCCTTAGACACCCTAAAACATCCCCAAGCCCCCCCAGCAGCAGACCTGCACCCTGTCCCCTACCCCCCAGGGCCATGCAGGGGCCCCTGTGCCACCTACCAGGGGGGCACCTACCAGGGGGGTCCCCCCGGTGCCCAGCTGTGGGGTGGGAGCCGTGGAGTACATGTAGCTGAAGAGGCGCTCGATCTTCCTCAGGGGGACACCCATTCCCCGGTCACTCATCTGCAAGACACGGTGTGTGGGGGGGTGACAATCCCACTCCGGACCCCTCCTCCCACTAAGCGTCACCCATGCTGGGCTCGGGGATGCCCCCCCCACCCTGGGATGGGTGGTCCCTTACGCACCTTGATGGAGAGGTCCTCCTGGCCCAGGGCCACCATCACCTTGATGGCCGGCAGGCGCGGGCTGTTCTCGTGGCTCTCCACGGTGGCTCGCATGGCGTTCTGCGGGCAAGGAGCTGGCTGAGGTTTAGGGGAGACCTCCCCCCTCCCACAACCTCCCTCTTGTTGCCCCCCCCCAACCCCAAAAACCAAGGCTGGGGTTACCTTGAAGAGCTCGAAGAGCATGTGGTAGAGGTGGGAGGGGACGTAGACAATGCTGATGGGCTGCTGGGAGTTGCTCGCTGCAGGGAGGAGGAGCCATCAGTATCATCATCATCCTCCCCAACTCCAAACAAGCCACCAGAGAATCCTCCCCCCCTCCTCCCGTGGCCCCCCAGCCTCACCGTTCACCTCCTCGATCTCCAGGTCGGGTGAGGACATGTAGTACTTGTCACACAGGAGCTTGGCCATGTTGTAGGCATCTGGGAGGGGGAGACAGAGGGGTCAGCACCCTCAGCATGGAGGTGGCGGGGGAGAATCTAGGGGTCGTGTCATCCCCCCCAATTCCTACAGATCCAGGAAGATTTTGGGGTCCCCTGAAGTCACCCCAAAGTACAGGGGAAACCATGGACATCTTGGCTGAGACCCACCCAAACTCATGACACGAATGGCTCCCAAACAGGCAGATCCTAGGGGTGGGAAGATCGGGGCGACCTTCAGCTACCCGCCTCCCGCCTCCCAGTTCTTGCCCCCCCCGTGGGGGTGGGACCCCCCCCCAGG